ATTTCCAGATTTGTCATGTCTAGTATCACAAGATGAAGCTGTCAGGACATTTACTTACAATTGAAGAAAATAGACAAACTTATTACCATTTCCATTTCACAAACATTTTCTCCTTTTAGAAGTCTGCAATAAATCAGAAAAATAATTGCAGAAATACATCAAAGGTCCACCACAACTTCAAACTTTTAAAGCATTTTCAGGTTTCCAAAGAAACTTTTGTCTAGCAACAAGTAGTTTTGTATACACTATAAAATAGATAAATTTCAATGCAGTGGATTGAGGAATGAAAAGAATAACCAACTTACTTAGTCGGACTTCCAGCTTTCTGTACCCCATATCTGAAGAATCTGAACAAATAACAAAGTTTGATTAACCAGAATTATCAACTTATACAGCTGCAGCCAGAACAAGAAAAATACTTACTGGTTGCTGAACATTTTTAATGAGCCAGAGATCAATATCCGAGCATTATTTCTGGCCTAAAATACAAAAATCAGGCAGAAATCATAATGATAGGTTATCAGGTCGAAACAAAGTATGTTATACTACATACAGTTTTTGTGTCATCTTCATGAGGTTTAGGGAAATTTTAAAAGAATGTCCTAGTTGCAAGACATTGAAAACTCCACCAAAGTTTCTCAATGTGTTTCTTCAAGAGACAACCATCATCTGAACTTCTTAAAATCATAATTCTCCTAAGTAGCCACTGTGAGATTATTCACCATCTTTATGCTTTCTATGTCATGTGTCATGGATTTGATTCTCAGGTTCTTACTTTCATGGGAGTATTTGATACATTGATAAGCTTCTGTCTCTGTACAAAGCAAGTCCAACTCAAGGATAACTTAGAAAATCACCTTATCTTCAGTCTTTATGGTAATTTGAGGGCTGCAATACAATTAATTGGGTCCTCATTGAGATTTATCTTGTTTAAATGCCTGTTTGATTGAAGATTGTTCGATGTCAAGAGGCCAACAACTGATACACTACTTGTGGAAATAAGCATAATAAAACTGATAGCGCTTTAAGCAGCAAGAGGAACTAATATACAAACCCCACAAGGGAAAACAAGAGAAGTCTTAGGACAAGAAGAAGGGGTTAAAACTAAGAACAACAGCTGGTAGCAATAAAAACTAGACAGGCTTCAGAGTCATGATAAAGGTTAGGAAGATAAAATACGAGTAACTACTTTCAAACCTAGTTCCATGCATTCACTTTTGTAGTGCAATTTGATTGGCATCATATCTCAAGGAAGTATACCCAGTCCAACAGGGAAAATAGATTCAGTTTGGATCAGTACTTTATTGATCGTCCCATACAACACATGAAAATAATAAAGTTGAACAAGAAAACCAAAATGAATGGTAACCAGAAAAACTTCACAACAGAAATTTGTGGATAGACATTTTAAACCAGCCAAAATATGGCAACTGTGGATTAGCTCAATAGTGTAAGACGAAAACTATTGCTGAACAAGTATGTGATTGCACTAAAAAAGTAAATCAAGATGATAAAATGTTAGTACCAGCATCCAAATCTGTGAGAAGCCAAGTTGAAATGATAAAGTATACCCAAATGATACACTTGGATTTTCGAGTGTACCCAGTCAACATACTTCAATATGATTGACATCTCAGGTTATTTCATTTAACTTCTGTTCCATTTTGATATCGCGTTCCATAATATGTAGCAGTGCAGACAACTAATATGATTATTTGTAGTACTGCAGCAACCAGAGATCAAAAAAATCTAGCCAACAAAACCATCCCTTCCGCCCCATGAAAAATCAACAGATGTATCATAGAAACAGAGGAAGTTACCTAGAGATGTAACGTACCTGCACGACTGAAACCAAAGAGATGGCAGATCCATAGATTGCCGGAGGATTTGATAACTTAGATTTTGGATTTGCTGAATATGCTGAGGGAGATGCTGAAAGAACCTTCAAAACCTGCATTAATACCACACGTTTGCTTTTTCTTCATCTCACAATCACTTTGGTTACACAATCTCACTGTCATGTTTACTAAACTTTATAATTACACAAGGGCAGCATACCAAGTCATTGGAAGGATTCACCATCTGGCCGATACCTTGAAAAAGTACAGGGGCCTGTGGTAGATTTAACAGAAAAAGTAAAGGCCAGAAACATCTGTTTGTTTATAGCGCTGTATCTATATACCTCTAGAGGCTATGAATTGAATAATAGCAGCTTTGTCACCCATAAAAATACATAAAGTCAATATACATATCCAAAAAACCTCAATGTGCAAAATTAAAGATTTTGCAGGTTCAGACTGAATAAACAACCAAAGGATGCAAACATACTTAAGGTCCCTTATAATGTGAATCATTTAAATTGGTGAGATCCAGCAGAGACAGTCACTAGTACAGTACATCTATACAGTACCATGAAAATAGAGGTTAAACATCTGTGCTTGCAAGCGAAAGAATCGTGGCAGTTAATGCTACTTAATCACGTGAAGAAAGCACAAAGTACTACCAGTAATCATTAAATGACAACACAATTAACAGATGAATACCACAAGATTATAATTCACCTCTATAGTGTTGCTTCCCAAGATGATACTGGATTTGATGAAATCATCAGCAGCAATTAGAGAACGATCTCCATCCGTAGTTGAAACAGCATAGTTAATGTGGTCAATAACCACAGCTCCTGGATCCTAGGATGATAGGGAAACATATAACACAACTACTTGAGTCATGCTTCCTTAAGGATTTGAAATATCATTCATCTCTAACTGACTTGCTTAAACTGGTTTATCGCATCACCGACACACGGACAACTATGTCAAACAGAATAAGCAAATCATGGGAATTATACAACTGTAGTTATAAAAGATTTGACTACCTCGTCAAAATCGACTCCACATTCTGTGGCAACCTCTCGAATCAGATCAGAGGCAGATTCATCAGCCACAAGAATCAAGTCATGACCAGCATCAACAAAATCCATGATTGCAGCGGTATTAATTGACCCACCAAATCCTAAAAGCATAGGAACAATGTCAAGACTTTGATCTCGAAGCAATAGCAAAGGGCAAGTCATTTCAGGAAAAACCCCTAATCCTAGATTAAAATCCATCCACAAAAGCAAGAGAAAAAGCCATACGATCCTAGAAACCAGCAAAATAACCAAAAAAAAAAAAATTCCTTGTCAATTCATGTCAGTAAATATGCATAAGCTCCCGTATCCTTGCAAGTGATACCAATTTTTTCACACAACCGCATATAGTTCTGAGCAAAAAATTTAGTGTGTCACAATCTTCAAGCTTAACAAACACTAGATAGTCCCGGGGCTTGATTTTTCCAGTTGTTAACTCAATATCATAGTAGCTCGAGTCAAAATATCAAGTAACTTTAGAGAACACGTCAGAAGTCGAACCAACCAACAGAGAGCTGAACGGTATGTTAAGTACCATCGTCGCGCATTTCCAATCCGCTTCAGTGTCTAAAAATGCATACGCGAAAACTAACGGGATACTTACTGAATTCAAATCAATATCCTCGTGTACAATGATATATAATCGCAAAGAAAAAGGCTCTTAAATTAGAAGATAGGAGGGATAATACGAGGCCGTACGTTCGATGGAAGGAGAGAAGAGGATGAGCGCGTCGTATAAGTACTGGCCATATCTGTGTAAAGCGATCTTGGGGTCACCGGCGAGTTTGAAGTCCAGTTGGAACCCTCGGTTCTCAAGAGATTTAAAGTAAAGAGAGTGGGAGGATTTAATCGCTAAGTCATCGACCAAAACCAAAACCCGGCGATCGGTGGGGTTTTCTGGGGAGAACGAGTGGCAGAGAATCGCCAGAAATGGAATTGCAATGCCGAGCAGAACTATTATTCTAAAAACGAGCGACATATTATTATTGTGGTTGTTATAAGTTATAACAACCATGAATATCGGAGACTACACTCAGCTCTGCTCAAGTTCAGAGCTTCCAGTCTTCCGCAGACTCTTTCTCATTCTATGGGAAAATTCCTCCTCCTTCCGTTGTAGTGGCAAAACAGCAGCGCCACCGCCACCAGCTGAGCATGTTTCCAAATTTACTAAAGTGCCCCCATTTGCAGCACTTTGAGCCTGCTGTAATAAACTAAAATGTACGTGCAAACACAAATTTTGTAATTTTCTTTTTTGAGGAAAGGTTCCAAACCATACAATTAATCCAGTCATTTGAATACAATTGGATGAGTTTCTAATCTATAACTCATTAGTGTGAGCGTACCCAAATTCAAGCTGAAGTGAGGTGCATTATAAACATGCTTTATCATCGTTGAGATAGGCTGTACACGAATCGAGCCGCTCGCTCGAATTCGAATTTATAAAGCTCGCGAACTCGATTATATATATTTGTTTTATTTTAATAGTAAAATTATATATATTTTTATAATATTTTATTATTTATTAAAAAATTATTATTTATTTATTTTTAAAAATACAATAATTATTATTTCATTTTTAAAAATAAAATAATAATTATTGTTTAAAAATAAAATAATAATTATTTTTTATTTTTTAAGCTTGAACTCGTCGAAATCGAATTCGAATTCGAATTTCACAAAATTAATTGGAGGCTCGGCTCGATTAGGCTAAAGTTTAACTCGACTTGACTCATTTGCACCCTAAGTTGAGAGACTCTAATCAAAGAAGCAAAATTATATATTTCAGAGTTTTATGATCATTGAAACTCCAATCATGATTATATATTTGTTTGAAATGCATTGCATGTTAGCCATTTTTTCGTCTTTGGATTTGAAGTCAGTAAAACATATTCGCGGAGTAGGCTTCACCAGAAAAATGTTTCTGCCTCAAATTTTTTCTCACTGAGGGTTGTAAAACTCGAAAATGGTAGTACTCGAAACGCTGAGCAAGTTATTGCAGAAGCAGCAGAAATCCACATCTCAAATTCATGACGTAAAAGAAAAGAAAAAAAATGCCAAGTCTCAATAAGCAAAATGGTGCGGAGGCAATGACTAAGAAAAACTTCTTGAGTAAAGAACGATAACAAGCCATTACTTTTATTATTATCGTTACAATTTCCAGAAAACAATCACAGCAGATGCTGCAACGTACAATAGACAAAAATGCAAATATACCTAGCAAAAAAAAAAAAAATGGAATTACAATATACAATAGCATGACACAACCAATAAAGGGTTCTGCAGGGGCTAGCTACCGTCTTTATGATCATTTGGGAAGGAATGAGGCACCGCAAACCTCCTCACCATCAATGCCATGTACTTTCCCTGGTGCTCCGCCAGTGCGAGCTCTGCTTCACTGGGTTCCCTTGTGCCGTCCCCTGAGAAGACTCCTGCTCCATAAGGGGAACCTCCTCTCAGGGCGTCCATCTTAAACATTCCTGCTCCAAATGTGTATCCTATTGGAACGTAGATCATACCGTGGTGGACTAACTGGGTAATTGCTGTCCACCTGTAAAATAAAATGCAGTAAATAACCAGCATTTATTGTAAAAAAAGGCAACTCTGGACTCATTCACTGAGGACAGCAAGAATATACCCATCCCTTTCTCTAGGGGGTTAAGCAGGTAGGGAGGTAGAGTAAACAACCTGGAATTCAAGAGAGACAAAAGCAAGGGGTCAACAGATAGAATTTTGTCATTAAGAAAAAACTTCTCTAGCCTTTTCGCACCACTTTTCTGGTCCCCAGCCTAGAGGCACAGCATCATTGTAATAACTTCTCCTGCGATTTAGCTTAACTCAGAACAACCCCTTCCCCTTCTTCAGAAAACGATTAACCATCCTACCCTTGGAAACTGGGATTCGTGGAGAAAAGGCATATGCAGCAGGTTGTATAAAACTATAAAGACTGAACTGGAGGATTGGTCAAGCTCGAGCAGTAAAATTGAGCCACCCTTAACCAAATATCATGCAATTAAAGTACAACCAATGAAACAGAAACCCTTCATAGCCTTCTTTTCTTTAGATGGCTAGATACCATACCCTTCATCGCACAGATTTATGAAAAGACTTAGTGGCTATTACTGCCAATGAAGAACAATGGTGGCAGTCCTGAAAGATCAAGACTGAGACTTGCTACAACTAAAACTTAAAGCTGTCTCCGTATAGAGTTTGTACTCTAAAGTAGACACTGAAATAAACCTCATGCACATTGTCTCTGGTGGTTTTTGAGGTGCCAGAGGGTTCTGAAATAGGCAAAAAGGATCAGAGAGAGAGAGAGATGTTGGTAGTGAAACTTTGCAAAGATCAGTAAATGAGATGGGAACAGTTACTGGAAGACCAGGAAAGTTGATGTTTAAAAGCAGAAGCATTTCAAACAAGTATATACAAATGAACACCCCGTTAAGCATAATAGCCAAGAATAAAAGCCCTGTTACTTGGCTATCAATCTCAATTTGCAGATGTTGTCATCTGTATCTTGCTTCAGTCACCTGAAGAAAACCCTTGCCATTCAAACCAAGGGACCTTATATATCACCAAGCCATGATTCAAATAGGAGCTCAACCAGATATTCCCAATAATTATGAGGACGTTCTATTAGTCTGTTAACGTTCTACACCTTATAAACATATATAGGACAGAGGCCTGGTGCTTTAACAAGATGCAAGTCGAAGAAAGGAGGACTGTTCGTCTCGCACCAATCTGAGCATGCAGATGTATCTAAGACATAATTCACAAAAGAACTAAAAACTGCAGTTAAGAAAACCTCATCCTATTTGAGCAAAATTCATAGATAGATAAGCATTATTGTAGATCAATAATTAGATATGCACATGGACAAAGCCAAGAGCATAATCAGATAAAGGAATAAGTAGATTCTGGAGCAGTGTCAGAGGATCGTTTTGACAGGTCCAATGAAACTCTGATGAAAACCTGTTTAAGTGTTGGCATGAAGTTCGTGTAGCTGAGATTCCGAAATAATCTCCAGATATCAACATTCCTAAGCAGTTCAAAGATCAATTTACCAAACTAGGATGTAATCCTAATGTGACGTCAAGTTTCTAAGGGTAAAGCAGCTAAGATGAGTTGGTCTTGCTTTTCAACCAACCACAGCTACAATTGTTCATTCAGATTATATACAACCCAGCCAAAGAATACTAGAAAAAACTGCTTGACTAGTTATAATATCATAGATGTCATATGATATATCTTGGAATCCATGAAAATCACTTTGCAACTGAACCGGTCAATACCCCCAAAAAAAAAAAAGAGTGAAAACAGAATTACACTTACGCGGTAGTCTCTTGTCCACCTCCTTGGGTACCAGTACTAACAAAGAATCCCGCAGGCACCCCAGCAAGCCTCTGCTCGGTCCACAACTTCCCAGTTGAGTCAAAGAATGCCTTCATTTGTGCAGCCATACATCCATACCGCGTAGGAAACCCAAACAACAATCCGTCAGCCTCCACCAATTCCTCCACAGAGATCAGTGGAATCCCATCATCTCTTGCGGGCACCTTCATCTGCTCCAAAACCTCTGTTTCCAGAGTTTCAGCAACTCTATACAACACCCCTTCAACTCCGTCAATCCCATCAACCCCTTTCTTCATCCTTCTTGCTAAACTTTCCACGTGTCCATACATGGAATAAAACACAATGAAAATCCTCAATTTCTTGGTCAGAGTTCTTTGCAAAACTCCATCTTGGAACTGAGCTGCTGCTGCATCAGTGGTGCGGCTTTGGCCCTCGATTGTGACCGAGACTGACTCGTCGCCAACTGGATTGGTGGGCTCGTCCTGTTCAGACGCAACCAAAGGTTGCCTGTTTTTGCTTGGCAAACACCCTCCTCCTTTACCCATGCTATAAACTATACCATCAATCAAAAAAATAATCGAACCCCTCGATTTTAACTGCCCAAGACCGAAATTTTATGACAAATACGGATCAATCAAGATTACAAATGGTACGAGTTTTCGACAGAATTCGAAATGGAAGAGTTGGACATGCGAATGATGGGATGGAGTGGGACCGTTTCGAGTTAGCATTAGTTGTTTATTATTAGGAGGAATGTGTGAAACTGTAAATTAGCTAATCGCATTGATGATTCGAATCTGTCACTGCCGTCACCGAGAGCTTCGCTGGCAGTCATGGTCAACCACTCAGGGACTGTCAGGTCGTCAAACACTTTTCTTTGTCACAAATTCAAATTATGGCTGTACCTTTTCTCCCTTTTTTTTTTTTCTTTTTTTTGGTGTTGGTAGAAGAGAAACAGTAGTACTAGTACTTTACTTCATTTAGTAACCGGATATTTAAATTTTACCACTAGGGTAAAGTTATGAAATTACAAAACCATACCGGAGATATCATATTCAATAGTATGGAAACTCATTCCTGTTATGAAATTAAAGAAATGTTGATGTCTGTTCACGTCTTCAACATATATTTACCTCTCCCATAAGTACTTGTTATGACACTCCAAAAGTAACTTTTTTTTAACTTCTTCTTACAATTAATGTTAGATTCACGTACCTATGATATTAAGTATAGCTTTATTTGGATATGGTCAAATGTCTGAATAAAATGAGAAATGTTAACTTACATTCTCCTCTCTAATTGCCTTGCCTCGATTCTACTTATTTTCTAGTTTATTTATTTTTTGTTAGCTCACATTATTATTTGTAAATATCGTTGGTCAATTTTACAAGAAGCGTGATCGATTCATAATATTTTCTATTTAAACTGCATTAGCATGCATTTGTCTCTGTAATCCCAGAATCTCAGCCACCACGAAAAGATTTTTTTTTTTTTTTTTTTTTTTAAAGAAACATTTCCAAAGGGCCATGTCCATTCGAAGAAAACAGAACCTACATGTTCATGGGATTTGTTGGATCAACTCATCAAGAGGCCGTTGAGTAGTAAATCTATCAGACTTAGCAGACTAGAGCTGCGGTTCCTGTTTGGGATGACAAGGAGAAGAGCGAGCGAGAAATCGGGGGAGACTGCAGTTAAAACACCTTAGGGTAGAAAGAATAGGGTGGGCAGGCAATCTTGGCCAGTTTTGCTCCAGAATAACAATGTGCGATTCATCTTCCCCTCAATGTATCAGCCAGACCTGAGCTTGATGGACTTTTTCCAAACCCATCCTGCCTTACCTCAACTAGTCAGCTGCCCCTCACTTCTATTGCCATAGGAGATGTAGCTTAACTACGGAAAAATCGTTTCTTTAACCACTCTGGTAACAAAACAATGTGTTGCAAACGGATCAAGAGCAGAATGATCCTGTGATCACACGACTACAAGAGCCCTGGAGCCATGCTGTTGGGTCTCCACGAAAAGTGAAGAGGATGATGCCCGAGACAGATAAATTGTGCTTGGACATCAATGCAGCCACATTTTTGCTGGCTTTTACAACCAAGAAATGTGATCTCATCCCTGAAATGCCATTCAACTGGCATATAATCTTCTAGAGACTACATGGAATGCCCTAATATACAAGCCAAAAAGACCGAAGGACAAGCATTGTGCGTCACCAAAAAGCAAAGCTTGCTTTTGACCTCCAAAAGCATCTGGACCAAAAAGGAGAACCCACTAGCGATAAACACGCGAGAATTTAGTAAGCGTGAAAGAATCAACTAAAGAGGAGTTGTTATCCATCCTTTAAAGAACCACTTTTAGAAATTTTTGGCTCCCATGGGGTCAAGCAGCCTTTGTAATGAGAATGTAAGAACAACGACGATATTGATACTTCTCTCTCCTTCTGACGCAAGGAAATTGAAGACAGGCAGCCAAAAGAGCTCCTCAGTTTCTTTTTCTCGCTGTCACAGCCTTGAAAATTTGCATCATGCCGCACAGTAGAAGCTCTCAGGGATTCAGGAAGTATGCAATTGCAAATTGACCCTACAGGGAGGAGAAAGTAAAGAACGTTAGGTAAGTCATATCTTCTACTCAGACGCAAGTAGTCTTTTTTTTTTTTTGGGGTCAAAAGTCGAGAGGTAAGTAGTCATAAGGTTAGATTCTTAGAGAGAGACGCACAATTAAGAATTTTCAATCAGAATCCAAAAGCATTCTACCCAGTTTCACAATTGATTTTTAAGGAAAAAAACGAAATTCTGCAAATTTTGCAGACTCTCAGAGCTGTTTTTGGGTCCAAACATGAGGTATTATGGTAGTGCACGTTCGCTTGGGCTAGCCTAATCCCCATTTTCGAGAGAAACATAAAGTGATATTCTTAATATATAAAATTGGACGAAAAAGCAATGGGAATGCAAGAGAGACTATCCTTGAGATTAAATATCTACTGAACGGTAAACTGACAGGAACATCCAAAACCTCAAGCGTGTAATTGAAATGCTACATATAAGAGAAATATCAAACAGTAAAAATGAAATAAGCTCTGACAATACCTATTCTTGCCAGCCGATTCACCCATTTTGGTATGCGATTCCCCGTCAATCTGTAACATATATCCTCACAGAAATGATTGCAGTTCTTTCTAACCAACTGATACGTATCACCGCTGTAATATGCAGATTGCTGCTCAATGAACTCTCTAACCTGGACGGGATCCATATAGGTTGTCCCTATGAGAATAGACTTTCTAAACTTAAATCCAGGGCATTGGCGAGGTTCAACCTCAAAGACACCACTTGTTGGATAGTCATGGGCTCCAAAAGCATATTCAACACCATGCACTGAGTGTAAATAAATAAAAATCAGAACTCCTGGATATTTGCCTAATGGGGCATCAAGCATAACATACTGAGCATTTACCAGATACCTTTTGTCTGATTAAGCAAATGAAGATGCATTCATCAACCACTAATGCAAATTTAAAAGCTTAAAGTAATAGATTCAGCTTTCGACATTAAGACACAAGCTAAAGGTCTAGCTACATGGTCGTTCTACCATGTTAGACGTGGAGGGTGTCCAGTTAATTTTCCACCTAGATGCAATGTTCATTAATCAAAGTCAATTACATTTTCAGACAGTAACATTCACTCACAAGAGTTTTAAATTCAAAGGAAATATGCATCTTGACTGAAACAAACCTTTGTCACGCAAAAGTGAGAAAACTATCAAGAAACTTGGGATTCGCTATAAAATGATGGGATACATGCATCAGCATTGACAGTGTAAACTAACCTTCTACTCCAGTATGGAATACGCCGAGGCCTGCCCAATAAAAGTAACCATTCATAGGTGTCAAGTCGTATACATTGAGATAAACAGGTGCATCCTTTGGACTATAGCCTGCTGAATCTACACTGGGAAAGATGCAAAAACAGTTGGCTGATTTTCCTTGCACATTAAAAGGAATGATTGAGCGCCAGCCTTTCTTTAATTTGGGTTTCATGTTTCAAGGATACAGCTAGGAATAGTTCAATACCTAGTTCCAACCTGAAAAAGTGAATGTCAGGCTTAAGTAAATCCATTAAAAAGAACAAGGAAGTGACAACAATATTACTCTGTTACATGAAATAAAATGATATGGTATGAGATGGCTGCATTATTAGCTAATTAGATTAAGTATTGTGACATTCTCTTAAACAAATTTAGAAAGCACTTGATCAGCAGATAGAAGAAGGCTGACAGTTTATTAAGTGGTTAAGTTAATACCTTTAAATTCTGAAAATAATAAAAGGAAGTCCACCACCAGAGGCATTATATAAATTTAAGGTTAAAGATTTTACCATGATCTAAATTATACAATGAAAGGCAACAATCTTTACTATGACCACATTATACCATGAAAAAATATGATTTATGAACAAATCAAAGTTACTTGACAATCTCTTTGACAAGGCAGGACATTACGTCCTGCATCATCTTGAGAAACAGTTCATGTTGCCTAAAACCCAAGAAGGAAGCTGGTATGGTCAACAGCCAGAATGCCTTTCTAGTGCCAGGATGACATAAATTCATTTATTGTACATTCAGTCTAAGATCTTATAAGGATGGTACATGGTTCTGAACTTGCAATGATTAGCATAAAGCAAAAAAGCCAACCAGCAAAGTGAAAATCAATGTGAGTTACAAGTTGGGAAGAAAACTTGGTCATGCTTAGTATGAAAAAGTTATCCCTATATTAGGCACCAAAGAGTGTGATGAACAACATAAAAATGTCTAAACAGAAAACCAATCTTGTTTCTACCTCAGAGGTGCAGTGAGGTATGGATATTCAGACTATGGAACAAGTAATTATGCAGTAACCTCTTCAAAGTTCCAGGCTTAAAGGTGATGGAACAGGAAATTGAATGTGCAATTAGAAGAATCACAGTGGAGCACCAAAACTTCATGCGTGGTCCAGATGCACATATAATGTAACACATTCAGCAACTTCTAGCTCTTAACGATTTCATGACAGGTTCAACAAGAAAAGTATATGAAGGACACAAAAGCTTAAAGTAAATGCCAAGGGAATCAAATAAATCAAAATCATCAATACCATCAAGCCCCAAGAAAAAGTATCAAGTGCATTACAATAGAAGGAAAACTCAAGCAAGGTACTCAAACCACCAAACTACTACAATATACAAGCCAAAATTGGAACCTTATTTCTTCTTTGGGAAGGGGGCCAACAAATTGCTACATTCTCCTAGATCAAAGCATGCTAGGTGCCAGACCCTCAGCTATCTAGATGAACGCATAATCAAGATTGAGCAACTCAACCACTAACAATTATAGGTTCATTGTACAGGCAAAGCTCATATTATATAGTTTAATAAAAGAAAAAACTAGTAACTAATCAAATTCATCAACCCGAATGTCAAGTTCCCATGGCAAACCTTCCCCCCGCCCCCCTTCTCAGGAATGTACCAATAAAGCAGTGCATCTGCCACTCATAGACATACCGAGAAAGAAAATCCTTTTCCACGTGACAAAAAAAGGCGAGATTTCTTTTTTTTTGGGTCTAACCACGGTATCCCTTTCGGACTAATCCGAATTCGGACTAATCCGAATTCGGACGGGGAGCGCCTGCAGAGTTTGACTTTTACTCGAGGGTGAAGGCCTGGCCCTGGAGTTATTGCAGGAGCGCAGCGAGATTCCTTTCCTCTAAAACAAAAATAAGAAGAAAATTATTGCCATGGATAAGCTTTAGGAAGACATGAAAGCCAAAGAAGTGGGATTAAGTAATGTAACCGCCGCTACAGATGTGGGTTTGGATATAACTCATGTTATGCTTTCACAATCTTTTAGAGAAAAGGAAAGAAGGAAAAAAAAAAAAAGACGGAGCCTTTCACGTAAGAACACATCTGACGGGCTATATGAGAAAATGCCAAACTAGATCTGACAACCCGATAGACGCCAAAATTCCGAACAAGCTGGTAATCACTCGTCTGAAGTGAAAATAATCCTGGACCCATTATTATGAAGCTCTCCGAAAAGTATAGAATAACTAACATTAAAAGAAAACCCATGCGTAACGCAGCCCATTAAGGAGATGAAGCAAATTCAGGTTATAGAACATACCAAACCAAAATCAAGCAAAAAAAAAAACCCCCCATGAAAGAAGATTGAAAACCCTCAATCCAAAAGTATGAGGGGAATGGCAAAGTTAGGAAAATAAAGAGCCCCAATTACATTGCTTTGAGGAAAAATTCATCAGATCATGGGCTGAGCGGCTCTGCCGCCCAGAAAGCAAGCATTCTTAGTGCAAAAACAGCAGCTTACAGTAGGGAATATGTGCTCGAAATGCCCGCATTCTTGTTCCAATAGTATTATAAAGCTGGCAGACTGGGAGAGTGTACAGATACAGTAGCAAGAACTGTCCTTTTGATTTTAGTTATATAGAGATCCAGACAAAGCAAAATGGCGGAAAAGATAAAGGAAGACATGACATTTCAGGGGTCCAATGGTGAAAGCGGAATCTGCATTGTATGCTATACGGCATACCTTACTCTCCGGGTGATGTGGCAATTGATTATTCCCCCGATTCTTTAGTACAAATAACAACAAATTTGCAGTGCTGTAATGAGTCTAAAATTTCTTAGGTAAAAGCCAATCTTTCGAATCTTCCAAGACTCCAAATCTCCAATACATGGTCCAAGTCTTTCATACAAATCAACAATTAAAAAAAAGAAAAATCTTTTGGTTTTCTCTGGACCAGAACAACAATTGCTGGAGAGTATATTTTGTTATATGTTTGACTATTTTCTTGTTGCAAACACAAATCCTGTCATAACTTTTCGGTGAAGTTTGGAATGAATATATACTTAGTGGGTACCCACGCACTTGGGATATGATTCAGATTATTTGTACTTGTTTTTGAATAATTTAAAACACAATTCTCCACCATTTTTCATCTTACAGATAAATTTATCAGTGTAACTTGAAAAAAATAATAATAAAAAAAGGACTTTGGGTCCAGACACGCAAATGAATAGGAAGCGAGGGCGTTACTGTAAACTTCTCTTTTACAAGTATCTGAAAAAATCACCATTCGAATGGAGATTGTGTACACCGTTGGTCTTATTTACTCATCAATCATGAGCCAAAAGAAGATCAACGTTAACGGGATATTTATTATGATATGAAGTTCATAATAGTCTAAAAATGTTTTACAATTTTTAATTCAAAACGAGCTCAAAATTTATGAATAAATGTGATTTTAGTTTAGTTACATATTGGACATTCACGTATATTTAAAATTTATTTAATTTAAAATAATCGCCATTTCAACTTTTAATATTTTAATTAAGTGGATAAATGTTCTTATAAGAATTAATCAAACAAATAATTAAAGTGAGTATTAAATTTCTATTGTTAATAATTTGTAATATGTATTATTATATACCAAAATATGTGCTTTTATATTGTTGGAATGAAGGGATAGATTTGTTAGAAGAGAAAAAATGATTTTGATTCCAATTGACCTATGAATTTTTATGGATAAAATAGTTAATTGAAAATCTTATTTCCATATATACAGATTAGATTAGTGTTAGATTATATTGGATGAAAATTTAAGTTTGAAAAAGGAAAAAAAAAAACACACAACGCACAAACAAAGCCTTAGCCATGCTAGCAACATAATTGAGTATACCATGGTTCTATTTCCACAATCACTCTCACCATAGACATAATAAAATGGGGAATAATAATGGGAGTGTTTGGATACTAAAATTATTCTAAATAATATTTCGCTTGCATCACAAACACATTTCCCAACCTATTTTTTTATATTTTCAATCACCTTTTTTATCTCACATACATCATATTACAAAAAGTGCTACAGTAATTATTCCAAATAATATTTCAAATAATACACTTGATATAAATGATTGGCAACTTCATATCGATAGGATTTTAATCATAAACAAATCTTAATGCATAAGTGATTGATTTTGATTGACCTTAAACGAACGCTTCATATAGGTTTGGTTTAAATTAAAATCCATTCATTGTTTTAAAATCTACTTACTAGGTTAATTTCATCTTGCACACGTCAATTCGCTCTGATACTTACTTTGGTTTCTAAATTTTAAATTAGGACAAAGTAGCTATAATCATAAAATTATTAAAAAAAACGCGTCTTACTTAAGTGCAATCCTTAACAAAATACTCAAAACTAATGGAATACTAGTCAAGTGTATAGCGACTATAGGAAAAAAAAATGTCAAATTAGAGAGAAGGTAGGAGTTGAGAAACCAAAGTATGAATTTGGATAGAATTTAGGGGCTAAAGTGCCATAAATTGAAGTTATAGGCTAAAAAGGAAATCAAGGTATAATTTGACTAAAGCGTCCCAATTTAGAATTTAGGGACCAAAGTAGGAATAAAATAACATTTGAAGGATGCAAAGTAGAATTTACATCTACTTACCAAACACAAGAAATTAATCCACGGTGCAATTTAAATGCTCTGCGAGTTATATTCTTATATCGCTAGATGCAACCAACTCCTTTTAAATTTTAATCATAAGTTGTAGGTCTGATCCTAGATCAAGGGTCAAATCTCTGTGCTCTAGTTCACCTAATAGTTGAAGAAGGGGAGGAGTTGAATGATAGACAAAAAGACCGCTGGATGCAGAAAAAGAATCCCAACCGTCCACATCAAATAAACCAATAGATCATACCCATAGATCTTGGATTCGTTTTCTCTTTCGTATTTAAATTAGAACTCCCGAAAACTCCAACGACCAGAACTGGCGCCAAAAGCTCAAAAGTGAAAAAAAAAAAAAAAAAAAAAGAAGATCGCAGCTTCCTCTTCTCAAAACCCTGCCGAAGAAAAAGAACTTAGCAACGAACTCGCTCCTGCTGATACAGCTATCTATCTGTACGTCAATAATATGCTTCAAGCTCGTAATTTTCACTGTCCTTCTTTCCCTTTCTTTAGTTCTTGTGAATTTTACAATTTCCTTGCATATTTAAACGACTGTTGTAGTTTACTTGTTTATTCCATATAGCGTAATTTATGTGGAAGCCTTTTTTGTTTAAATACTTATAGTAGCAATTGTGTAAATTTTATGTTCTTTTTTTAAAAAAAAATTAAGTAGCCATACCAGCACCTCTGATCGACGATAAGGACCATTGAAAGTTCTTTTTGTTGGTTTGATTTCTGCCTTATTTGAGGTATGGGAGCTTCAAAAGTCGGCAAGTGTATTTGTTTTTATTGAATTTTGTGTTGGGATGAACTGATGAAGGTACATGAAAATGGCGCTTCATCTACCAAGACATTAGCAGTCTGAAATTTCTTCATATATACATGTAATTTCCGAAGGCAATTAGTATTCTGGTAAATGTACTGTATATCAAACTAATTAAATCTTGTCAAAGATGAGGGCAAACTTCCAGATATGAGTTTTCACTGATGCCAAAGATAATATAGAAGACTGCCTTATATTCTTCTAATGCAACGGCTGTTAAACAGTGGTGACTAATGCTAATTTGTTATTCTTTTTCAAGACTAACTATTATCAATGTGGCTAACATGCTAAGATGTTTAAAAATTATTATTATTTGTTACTATTATTAGTATTATTCTTTCGGTCTTACCAGCTTGATTTAAGTTAAGTGGGTGGCTGAGCTCCTTCATCTACAGAGCTCAATGGAAGCTGGGAGTACCACTGCAACTAACAGGCTTTCAAAGGCATTTGTGGCTGAGAACAATACTAACAAACTTGTTAAGTCTTCAAAACGAGCTAGTTTATCTAAGGTACCCTCTCTCTGTGTGTATATGCCAGTATACTTAGTATAAATATTGACCTTTCTGACACAATGGTGGATTCCCAACGATTATAGAAATGTAAGAAAAGGTAATCCTTCTGTTGTACATTTGTGTGCAAAATTCTTCGTATATTGTTGCATGATGGGCATATGCAGATTAACTGCAGGATTAATTGTGTTTATCTCAGAATAAAGTCTCCAAACATCTGGTTTATCCTACTTAAATCTTGAATATTACTTTTCTAAGCCCTGCTCTCCTCCCCTTTGAGTTCCATGACTGCTCCTGTTTGAGACCAACATCAGATCATTTTACGTCAAAGTGGAAAGACTGCTGGATTTACGCGGCAAAGGACCCTTTCTGCCCTGCTTTCCTTCAATCAATTGAGAACATTGTTGGATACTAAAGTAGTTGAATTTGGGGACGGGCGTATATAGAAATTGGATGCAGATCACAGAATCCAACCACGAGCTTGGTTTACAAAGGATGAAATTTACGCAGCAATGCCAAAAAAATGACCAGATTACCTCCATTAAAAATTGTATTAGTACTTTGGCTAGTGATTATGAATATCTTATACGCCTACTTAAGAAAACATTCCCATATTCTTATTAATCATATTTTGATCTGGAACTATTGTTATGCAATCTACTGTATACAATTGGCTCACTGTTCCTTACGGAAAATGAGAATAATGGAAAGGTCTAGCTGCAGGATGCAAGATGTTGAGTATGAGTTTCAAGGTTATACAAGCTTTCTTTATTTAATGCTTCAACTTTTTATGGCAGGGAAGGAAAAAGGCAGGAGTTCTACAAGATAAATCCTTCAAAAAGGACTTGGATAGAATGAGAATATCCAGGAGTGGTTCTGAAAATGTAGCATTTGACAATAGTGTCAGAGAATACGGTGAGAAAGCTACGTGTCCTGGAAAATGATGTTATTGGTTCAACATACTTAGTAACATTTTTGGCATGATCATCTGCTTCACTGTTATATGTTTTGCATGACTTGATTCAGCTTGAACTTGTTATCATTTGGCATTTGGTCTCTATCCAGGATTGGAATCCATAGTGGACACCTCGAATGCACCCCTTCATACAAATCCCGTCATATTAGTTGGACATGAAGAGGATAGAGATGGACAATTTAATGATCAGGTATATTTGTAATGGTACTTTTCTTATCATCTTGTCTTGGTATAACTTATTGGTCTTCTGAGGGGCAACAATTGAGGAAATCTTAACGTGTTATGGCAGATTGATTAATTAATGTCTTTCCTGCTGCAAACTGCAAAAGGTGGTCCTCAAAATATTGTCTACCATGTAAGATGGTTGAGTAGGCCTTTGGATCTTTCTGTCCTCATGATTCATATTTCGTTCACATCCACCTTTGCGGTGATAATGTGGTTTACTCGAGGGTTATGCCATAATTTGTTGTCCTCTGTTTCACTTCTGAGCCTGGATTAGGATTCTCTCCGTGTCTGTCCTATTAATCACCAATGCAATTTAATGATTTTTACTTATAATATTTATTTCTGTTCCTGTACTTCTGCTGATGCTGTTTTCTGTAATATTGTCTGGGTAGGATGTAGAAGAAAAACCCAAAATCAACACCTTCCGTCTAAATGAACCAGCCAAGATACCGGGAATTCCTCAACAGGTTAGTGCAATTATGCAACTTTTCTTTCAGAACTTGCCAGTGCAATTAGGATAGAATGAAGAAAAAATGGTCGATTACAGGTTTATGTGGTACACCTTCATGCACATTGCTTTTAGTTGACTGGTTTTCTTCATTGTATTTCAAATCCAAGAGTCTTTGATGACAATCCTTAGAAAATCAAAGAGTTTCAATTTTAATATTAGTGAACACGTTCGAAAAGTATGTGCCTCGAGTCCTCTCTAATGGTGAAGTTCTCTATCTTTATTCCTTTTCTGGTTTTCAGGAAAGATATCTAGACTTGAAAGCCAGGGTAAAGGAATTGAGGAAAGAGAATCACAGGCTTTACCGCCAGTTGCAGGGTGAGGCGGAGTTTTCATTGCAGCTTAAAGAAGAAAACCGGATTCTATTGGTCTGCCATCTTATGCCGGCTTTCTTTTCCTACTGTGTTATCGCAACTACATTAATTTTCAGCTACACTTGTTTGACTAGACAACCTCTACATGATTGGGCAATCTTTCAGAGTCGGTTTTCAACATAGCTGTGAGTGGAAAAAATGGCAGAGAGAACTAGATTGGGCAAAATAAGATTGTCAAATTCAAGCAAGAAAACACTCTTTTTTTTCACTTTGTGTAAAGGAAAAATATTACATTAGGCTAATAATTTCGTTTTCTGATGAAACAGGATGAGCTGAAGCGGAAATGCGGACCAGATATCATCAGTTCCCTTGAGGCCGAAAACCCAGATCAAACCGCTCAATCTACTGATAGTTAAAGCTACTTGCGAGAGCTGAGGAACGGAAGTTATTGCGACTTTTCTTCCTAAAATGACGTATAGAACGAAATTTTCAGGCAGATAATAGAACTAGTTTAGACTGGGGTGGTCTGCGTAGGTGTTCATGTATCAATGGTTCCATAGGCAAGAAGGTAATGCTCATCTTTAGTTTGCTTGTAGAGTAGGTAGGTTTGAGTTGCTTTTGATTACTTTGTTTTTTCATTTTTGATTCCCATCACAAAATTTAGTTTGATTATTTGCATTAATTGTGTGATTGGTCAATAAGTCAATAGATATCATGTTATTTGATTTAAAGTACGTGAGATTAGACCCTTTCCATTGCACTAGAGAGAATTTCTCTCCATTACACCTCAATAAAATTAAGTTAAAATTTATTTTTGAAAATCAACTCCATTCATAATATGTTTCATCACTCGTGTTAGTTTACACAAAATTTCATATGTAATTGATCAAGTTGTGCCATTTGATTAATCATTGTGAATTTTGTTACAATTTTGATTTATTTTTCGCTGTTCAAATGTTCCATGTAAATTAAATGGCAAAATATTTTTACAAAAATGTCATTTTTTAGTATGTTGATCTAGAGATCAAAAGAAAAATAATGACATAATTGCATACTTTTGTAACATTATATAAATTTAAATATGAATAAATGGAGAGACCAATGGAGAGGATCTTAACCCAGTTTGATACCAGGCAGGACAAGAAGGGAAAAATGGAAAATGATTTGAATTGAATTGAATCGTTTGAAATTTATTGTCAAAGAGAGGATGAACGTTGAGCTTTCACCCAACATTTCACTATCCAGAGAAATGTCGGAAGCTCTAGTAGGTACAAAGGAACTCCAACTACTCCAAACATATAAATACACACACACACACACACCCACACCCACACAAATCTTCTGTGTAGAGCAAGTAGTAATCCTTTAGCATAAGCAACACAGTTCAGCAACACAGCAGCGAAATAAATTGTTCACGATAAGCTTCGCCATATATCTTGCAGTCCATTCTCAAATTCCAGGCAATAACAATAGCCGTTGAGGAGAATAGGTCAAAAATAGATGGAGGTAGTGCTACAGATTCCAGTACGTCTTTGGTAAACCAACAAATTCTTCTGATATAACTCTTTAAGTAGGCAAAATCAGAATGTTACAATGGGCCAAATTGACCTGTGTATCCAGCAACTTCGGAAGTTTTGCAGTGTTTCTAGTGACCAAAATAAGAATTACCAATCTGAACCATCAGGGAAGGACTTTAAAGCATCTTGTTTTCCATTGACGTAATACTCCACAACTGCTTTCATTCTTGACAGCTTATCAGGGTGATAATTTATATGAATAATTACTGGTTTAAACTTGCTCAAATGAGCATCTTTTCTTACTTTCTTGAAGAGGACCTTGCTGTTCATAAAGAGATAAAAATCCAGAGTTCTTCTTGAGGCGTGAAGCCCATCATACCCAGGATGCGAAGGGAAAAAAAGCTCCTCGTTAAAGACTGCTTGGTCCCAAGCTTTCCCCCGGGAAAGCCGATCGGAAACGCGATCCAAGAGCTCTATTGAAGGGATTGTTGGCCTTATGTAGAAGAAACCAGAATTATAAACCCATATCCTCATTGTATGAGCATAACGAGCCCAACCCATCGAAGGTTCATCAAATACATCATCATAACCATAAGCCGTCCTGTTATCGTGACCGTCGGTCATGGATTCCACATCCGAGTCTCGGTGAAAATGTTCAAAGGGATTTTGCAAATAAACTATATCAACGTCCGAGAGAAGAACACTATAACCTAGCTGCAAAAACTCTCTCAATATCTGGAACTTCAACCCTGAGACAGCATGATTTCCTCCTGTCCTCCCAACTAGGTCAATCCCATTATCTGGATCTCTCTCATAAACAGGAACATTATTGTGCCTGCACAAGTTGGCAATTTCTTCATCCAGGGCAACAACTAAATAATTGGGTATTCCAACTCTCTTTATGCTGCTAAACCAAACTTCCAACATATTCTTGACGTTTGAATTTGCAAGTGCAACAATAAGTTCTCGGTTAACAGCAACTTTTTCCAGTATCTTAGCCAATCTTGGGTTCGCAGATACGTCTGGGACGACAGTAGGATTTGTTCTTGAACTCTTAACAGTGCCAAAAGGACCAGTCTTTTGCTGTTCTCCCAACACCAACACCTGTTTCTGTGCATTGTCTTTTCCTTGCTCAGCTAACCACAGCTTTCCAGTCAATTCTTGGATCTGCTTTTTCAACTCGGCATTTTTCTTATAAGCTGCAACATATTCTGACTTCAACATGCTGATGCGTTCAGATGACTCGCATGAAGACAAGTTGAACTAGCCATATAAAAATATGAAGAGTAAGCACTATAAACTAAGACTTCCGGCAGAGATTTAATTCAGCTAAGAAGAGACAGCTACTAATACTGTTGAATATTGGAAAAAACAAAGTTCCTTCAGCCACAGAGCAGCTTTTCTTCTAAAACAAACAGTCCTATAGCATATGTTAGCCTCAAATGGTTCTATGAATTATTTCTGTCAGATATATAAGCAGTGTACCAACTGAAATCACATAAATATCATCCAAAATCCTCCAAGCATGGTATGATTTAGCTTGTTCCACATCAAAATCGTCCAAGTCCCGATCTAAAACAGTTATCAAGCTATGAAAACAGGATAGGGCAGGACTATCTTTGATTTGCAACAATTGATATTCCATTAATATTCTGCAGTTTGACATAACATATAGTTTGATATCTTAATGGCAGCCAATGTACAAAAAATTAGTTATAATACATGTCAAAGTAAACATCATATCACAGTATCAGAGTTTCATCAACACACATAGGCACTAGCTAATTTTGTCAGCTGATTTAATTGGTAGCTAAAGCATGAACTAGCTTATACTATTGTACTCTACACTTCGCAATCGGATCATGGATGATTCCTGCCAAAGTTCAACTTCAGAACACAGACACTTCAGTGATTACATTGTAAGAAGTCAGCACATATATCCAAAACCATTAATGAAAGTGAAACAATCTCTTTTGGTTAGTGAAAAAAGAAAAAGAGCTTTTTCGATAATAACTTTGATAAAGATTAGAAAAAAAAAAAAACTTTGGTAAAGATAAGCTCAACCAAAACTTGCGCCTATCTCTAACTGTGAGTACAAATGACTATCAATCAAAACACGGAGTCCGTTTCATTTACATTTCCATTCTTTAATAATCCTAGAGCCTTAATTCCACACATAGCCCATTCTCCAAAAAAAAAAAAAAAAAAAAGAAAAGAAAGTGCAACATATAACAAACTATGCTAAATCAAACAGCACCAGATTCAAAGGTCGGAAGAGAAAATTACCAGATAAAGATAAAAATGTTGTTAAATAAGGATAACAAGTCAACCTGCAAATAGGATTTAGAGGCGATGGAGTGGAGTGGAGTGGAGACAAAGAGGCCGTGAGGGTACAACAAGGCAAAGACGCATCCAAACACCACCCCAATTGCTATAGCCGCTGCAATTCTTGACCGCCGCCCTTTTTCATTGCTTCTCATCAAAGGGCCGTCTCTACGACCCCCCATCATCATTTTGATCTCTCAATCTATCTATACTGCCAGTATTCGCTTATCGGAAAAAAAGAAAAAAAAAAAAGTGGCACCTTCTGTTCCGCAGAATATATCAATAACCCAAAAGCGGCGCTATCTGTACATCAATACAGATTTATGTGTAAATGGAAAAATCTTGAATCCAAAGTAGGCTTGCCTTTTTCAGCTGGAGCAGGTGGACTTTTCTTGTAAGAACGACCTTAATTTTAAGAGAAAACAACACACACTACTGTTTCTTGTTCTCGTTTCCGCTCAAGTCAGTAAAACTTCCATTTTTAAGTCGGTAAAACTTCCATAAATTACACACTAATTTCCCTCTATCCCAGCTTGGGAATAAATTAATAATGTTGACAAAATAATGAGATAATAATTTCTTTGAAAACCTTATAATTCACTAAAATTAATAATTTTGCTTGATCCAGTCATATCATAAATTAATAATTTACTAAAATTACATATAATTTTTTTAAAATATGATTCTATTATTTTTTTAAGAAACCGATTGCTACAATTACTAGATACTCTTTTTCTATACTCACACTATGACTTAAGTAATTGACTATTGGTTGATTTATGAACACTTTTATTAATCTAATTCATTCTGTACATTTAATAAAATAAAAGTCGACATCTCTTATTTAGTATTCCTAAATCTCTTTCACCTCTTGATAATAAAAAATAATATCAAGTATATTAAAGATATTAATAGAATTAAATTATACTTGCAAATCGAGTAGATATATATTGATTTATATTCCTTAGATTTTTACCCTATTTTTATGATAGAATAATTCATATTATTATAAAATAAAATAAAACTTTAGTTGATTAAATGAATATTTCTTTGAACTATAAGTACACTCATAAATTAATAGATTATTAATTGATCGGGGATTAATTAATATCTCTTTAAGTTAATAGAATTTGTACGGTCGTGAATTATTAATTTATAGAAATTTTACTGTATTTCTTTAGGATAATTTTAGAAACCTTCTCTGAGGTTTGTGATAATTTCACTTAGCACCCCTAAACTTTGAAAAATTGCTTGCTTCTTCTATTTTTTAACTTTTTATAATATTATCAAGCCATTTCAAATATATATTATTAAGAAAGCGTTAGTAGATGGAGAATACATTTTCATTCCAATATTGCCCCCTTTCTTGTGAACCATTTTAGTTTTGTAACAAATCTAGTTAATCCCTTAACTTTTGAAAGCTTGGCCGATATGCTTTATTAATTAGGAATCACAAGGTGTTAAAAAGGTTGAAAGATTTATTAATAATTTTTCTATCATTAGTTTACACAAAAAATATAATAAAATTTTGAGCTTATAAATGTTTTAGAAAATCCATAAACAATAATTGAGAATTTTACAATGAAGAAAATAACATTTTGCACCTTAAAAACACCTCAAATAAGTTTCTAAATATATAGTAAAGAATTTTTTTTCAAGTTTTCAAGCCATTGATCTAGACAAAAAAATATATAAAATTTTAAAAACTTGTATACAATTCATGAATCCTTAAATTCATCCAAGAGGACTTTTTGAATTAAAAAATAATTTTTTCTTCGAAAAAACCTCAAATGAGTTTGTAAACATACACATTTTGTCTTTTTTCTTTTTCTAGTTTTCAAGCCACCGATGTAAAAAAGAAAATTTTGAAATTTTTAAACAATTATAAAATTTTAAAGACTTCTCAAATTGACCCAAAGCACCGCATAATAAAGGAAAAATCCTTTTTGGCTAAGAACACTTTGAATACATTCTTAAAACCGTTTTTTTGTATATTAAAATACCTATTGTTATATTATATCCATTAAAATTACACACTTGTACACTTTGCCTCCATTTTCAGCCTTTTATTACTTGCTTTCAATTTTGGAAAAAAATTAAATTAGGATGACAACTGGTACTTTTGAAATGAAAATATCTTCTCTATCAAAAAATAAGCTTTTAAATACCATGGAAAATTCCCTTGGTTTCTGTACAGAAAATCGTTTGCCGGCTTATGGCGACGTAACATTATTATGACGCTCAAAGAATATATTACTCCAAATCTGCACAAATAAGCGACAAGTAGCTTCTTTCCCGTCAACGATTTACAAGTACGTATCGGGCGGCGTATTTCCATAAATATATCTGCGTTTGTTATCCGTAGTATATACAACATCTAAACGACCAATTTACAGACGCGCCACGGAAAGACCAAATACTGCAAAGCAACTAGATATACATTTCTCTGGCGGGAAAAAAGTCAGCTCCAGAGTCCCAACTCTTCGCGAACATGGTTTGAACTTTGAAACGCCCTAATACTAGTGTGCCCCAGGCTATCAGGAGCTTAAAAACGCAATGGATCCGAACACAATCAACAATAGTTTTTGTGTGCTTTGAGGGAGCCGAAACATTACTTCATCATTATTCCTCGTCTTCTGATTCTGAAGTCTCTACATGCTCTCTTGGACCTTCAACTGCACCATTGATTTGTTGCCCGGGGCGAATGATATCCCGAGCTGTCACACGCAGAAAGGCGAAACAACAATAGTCAGACGGTCATAGTGATACAAGCAGAAGGTAAAACATCATGGTAAACAAACTACAGCGAACCCTTGACAGTTCATATAGATCACCACAAAATTTTCAACTTATTTGACAAACATCAATTTAACCTCATACATCCTGGTCTGGAACTCAAAATGATAAAAGAAGGTAGCAACAAAAACCCCAAATGGATTCATGGTCAATCACATTCATACCTGATAGTAATATCCTTCTAAGAAGTGTCTTAGCAAATTGGAATTCTGCTTGATGGGCACTGACGAATTTAGCCTGCATATTCACATAATAATCAGGCTGCGTTCATAATCCACAGAGACCAAACTCATAATAAAAGTGTCCATCTTTAGATAAGATGCAAAATTTTCTTGCTTGAGATTTTTTACCAATTTGACTACAAGCAGAACTAAAACTCTCGAAAGGAGGGAGAAGATATAATCGCCATTCTCCATGAACAATTTAGCACACAAGATTCATAAAATTTACATCTCTTTGCCAAAATCACAGTCCACAGTCAATTTATAACACCTGAAAATAGAGGTTTTACCATTTCACCATACAAGCATCCTACAATTTGATCAAGTCTAGCTTGATGCCTGACAAGGAATGGGCGCAGATGATGCACATACAATTGCCTTGCACCCTAAAACAGCAAAAGAATAAAATAAAATAAAACAAACAAGGTGCATCAGCATTTCAGAAGATCAGGAAATTTGTCTATAATATTTTTCAGACTTCACCTCCCAGCAAGCTGAAGCAAAGATTCAAATAAGCAAATATTAGCATCAAATTTTAACCCTATCACCTCAGTATTTCTTAAATCACATTCTATAAAAGACTAGCATACAACCACATTAAGTGATCAGACATAATAAACCTGAAAGTTTTTCATAACTCCCCCCACTGATAGTAAGTACCAAGATATACACCAGAGTGAAGAATCAAAAGACACAATGTACATTAGTATAAAACCTGAAGCAAACCCAAAATGGATGAAGAAAAACCAAATCACCTCACAGAACAAGCTTGTTAAATAAACCTTCTGCAAATCCAAAAGCATGCAAGGTTCTGAATTTTTTTTATTAAAAAAAAAAAGCAACCTAATTTCAGTTTCTTACGCTATTCATGAATCCAGAGAGAAGAAAATTTTCAACTTAAACCTACCATTCTAGCACATCGCTATTATCATAAAGTGCAAAAGAAAGGGTAACAGAGAGGTACTCCCTCAGAAACTTAGAAAGGGAAAAACTAAACAGAACAGTGAAGAGAAATGGAAAAAAGGATTTCATAAACAAATTGGAAGGCACACGCTTACCTCAACAGAAGGAAGCTGAAGCCAAACAAGAAATGCAAACTTCATCTGATAATAGAGAGGAAACCTGTGAAAAGAGACAAAAGAAGCTATATCAGATTGCGTTAACAGGAAGCAGTAGCAGCACAATATGCAATCTAAAGAAAGAACTATACCAGTAGAGAAATTTATCTGTGAACATCTCAACAATACTAAAAGATCCATAAGCTGCAAGTATTAAGAGGTAAACCATTTTAGTTCAAACTTAGCTCAAAGGATAAGAACAGAATGAATTAATTAAACGCACTCAATTTGGCAGAAAGAAGCAAAATCTGCATATTCAATGCACTGAACTGGGCCACTTCACTTTCTCAACTATTAAATAAATTTAAAAGTCAATTGCTAGGAGGAGGAAAGCTTCCACCAAAATGGTCAACTGGTCAATAATTCTAAAAGCTCAAAAATATCACATTCACTATTATGGAGCATACAATATCATGATGCAAACGACTTCTGCTAGTCCACTAAATAAACCTAGATAATCTTAAGGCAACTGCTCTCTGATGAAGCACATAATAATCCATGATAATGTACTTGTTGTGGTCCTTGTACAACTACACATTCCCCCACCACCAATGGAGTCCTCATGCCATCACACTTCCAAAGAACCAGGTTGCAAGATAATTGTAATTCAAGGCATGGAAACACACATTTGCATACAAAAAATTTACACTTTTTTTTGTTTTTTTTGTTGGGGGGGGGGGGTGTTAAGATTAAACTTATACTGATATATTCCAAAAACATGTTAGCTTAAGTTTCAAGAACACCACAAACCTGCCCAGTACAATAGCCACTTCTGCTGCTCATTTTGATCCCTTGTTTCAATTGCTTTAAAAGTAGAGTAAACAGGCAAAACCATTCCAACAGAACAGCTGTGCAAGTCAAAAAGGGAAGGCAAAAGGATATAACATCCAGTCATAAACTTGTTTCACAAACAAATTGCAGTGAGCAAGTACTGTCTCATCAGAATGTTATAATATGCAAACAACTGTACTAAATATTTAGCAGACGGGAGGTAATTGTTGCAACATGAAGGAATATTGATGTTGCAAGTAAAAGTTTTTCTTGGTGATAACATTTTCTCAAACTATTACAGCCGAATATCAAAAGAACCATAATAGCATGATAGGATGGTTAAGTTTTTTGGCAGAATGCAAATCACTGAAATTACAAAACCTACCAACTCAGCTAAAAAACTCACCACGCTGTTCGGGTGACAACATTAGAACCAAGGGGACAGAGAAGTAACCGCAACCCAACCTGCATAAAATGAAGTAGTTGCTAGCACTTGGAATGTGTATTACATATGTAATTTAATAACGACAAGAAACTCGAGGGCCGGTTAGGATCAATAATGATAACATCTCTACAAAATTGAGTAACAGTTTCAAATAAAACCCACAAGCCCAGGATTTGAAAAAAAAAAAAGAAAAAAAAGGAGGTGCAGAGTTGAAGATTATCCGGACCAAGCCCGGCAAATGGGGATTGACTAGCCTGATCATGAAATGAAGAGATCTAATTTGAAGTCAAGAACGAAGTTCACAAGCGGACAGAAATTTCGAATTCAGGAGCCAATTAGTTCGAATACCACTAGATTCACCTTGTTCTGGGCTCTATCAACCTTTTTACCCTAATATTCCGAGCCATGTCTTCCTTTTTTATGCTAAGCTAAAATATTAGTATTAACTCCACATATCATCCAAATTAACCATAATTCAACTACCTAAATAATAAAATATGCGATTCCCCCCCCCCTTCTCTCTCTCACTCTAACTTTCTAAAATTCGCTAACACACAGAAAAAAAAAAGAGCAGATAATTACAGTCAGAAAGTACAAAAGAAAAGAAAATCCTACTAATAGTTTACTTTTTTTCCCCCTGTTTAAGCTTCACATTTTCTGCTAAAGAACAATAGGGAATTTTCAGGAAAACAATACGGAGCTTTCAGGATCAAAATGATAAACGGACTGCAAAGGAGGAGAAGGAAAAAACCTAATAAGTTAAAATTAGGTAAAAAGCAAGAAAAGATTTCAAGTGTTGGGAAAAATCACCTCGCCGGCCATGTTTGATCCGAACATAGCCATTAGAAGGGCCTATTTTCCAAACGATCTTACAGATACTCCTCCTTTATCACTTATTTCACTTGCTGCGGCAATTCGTAGTTTCAGTTATGAGCAGAAGATACACAGAGTCTGAGACTCCTGGAAATACACGAAATTGAAATTTCCCCAATAAAGACGGCTTGTTTGTTGCTAACGCTCGCCCCTCCTTTTCCAACCCCTTTTCCTCGCTTCTTGCCCCAGTGTTAATACAGCAGGGAAAATTAAAACGCCAACTATTGGTAATTGAATTTAACCACTGGGCCAATGCCTCAGCCACCGGGAGGGAAAATCTAAGGGTTGTGATAGAATATTCCCTTGATTTAGTTGATTTTATATATCCACTGACTCTCTGTCATAGTCTTCTTAAACTCCTCCTTTCTTTAGATTAAAATAGAGTAGGTTATACAAATGTGTCACTGTCGACAAAAAAAAAAAAAAACTATTGGTAATTGGATTTGGATGAAAATGCCACATGTGATAGAAAAAACACCTGCTATTTATTAGTAATTGGATTTGGATGACAGCTTTTTTAAAAATATTAGTAATATGACACCAAAGATAAATTAGCAAATGCGTTTGCAATTTTTGAAAAAACATGCCTGACATTTGCTCATGAATATAAAGATATAAATAATGTAAAAATCAATTTCGTCATCACATACTTAGTGCACAATAATGAGTTTTTGTTTTATTATAAAAAATGAGTTTTTTTATGAACGATTTTCTTAAAGGATACTCAATAAACACTCTCGTTAATATACCTAAATTACATATAGTTTAACATAAAATAAATAAAATGCTCCCTGTATTTAGACACTTTTTCAAATTAATTGCGAATTAACACTTGAAATCTCTCTTAACAAGCACCTATTTAGCACCCGTCAGTTGAACACTATTTATAATACTAGAGAATCTTATGTTAGACACTTAAAAATCTGAGTTATCCTATGAAAGAAAATGTAAAACTGAAATTTGTGTCCAACGCACTCCGGATCTAACTTCACAGTTTTTCTGTATTTAAGGGAATAGAAAAATATTCAGATTGGCTATTTTTTCAAAAATAAGTTTTTCAAATACAATGCAACAATAATACACAAATAAAAATAATTTAAAAAATATTTCATTCATATGATATATTAAATATTTCAAAAAATTTTTATAATAAAAATTTTTTATATACACTACTACAGAAAATTTTTTTAAAAATACCTCAAAAAACAGGTAATTCAAATAGAGTACTATTGGTTTAAAAAATATATATAGTGAATATGGTAATCATAAAAAAAAAAAAAAATTGTTTGTTGGCGTGGAATCAACCTACTAAAAATAAAGCCCGCCGTCAAGGACCCTAGTTATGAGCCCATTATTGACCGACCCATTAAACTCATCCGCTACGCACACAGAGCTTTGACTTTTGAGCTATTGGTGGTAGCAAAAGTATTGTACCGTAGCAAAACAGATCGGCTGCCCCCAGCCGGGATCATCATTTTTATATCGACGTAAAACATGTGCTGCGAACTGATTAAGTCCGGAGCGGCCATGCGCGGGGGAAAGTAAGGGAACATTAAAATGCCTACATGTCGTTGGCGAGGTCACTCAAGGACGGACTTCAATTTCACGCCCAAGTTATAAAATCTGGGTTTACACCGACTGTTTTTACCAGCAACCAATTGATTCACTTGTACTCAAAAAATGGCCTTATCCGGGAAGCTTATAGGCTGTTTGATGAAATGCCTGAACGAAACGTTTATTCTTGGAATACTGTTATAAATGCTTATATAAAAGCCCAGAACTTGTCAAATGCGCAAAATCTTTTCGACGCCGTCCCGGAAAAAGATTCTGTTACATACAATTCCCTGATATCTGGCTATGCAAATAGGGATGGTTTTGAGGATCGCGCTGTCAGATTATTTCTTCAAATGCAAAATGACTGCGATGGCGTTCGAAGGGATGAGTTTACTCTGACTACAATGTTAAATTTGACGGCCAAGTTAAGCGCTTTGTCATGGGGCCAGCAACTTCATTCTTTCATGTTGAAGACAGCTAATGATTTGAGTGGGTTTGCTGTCAGCTCTCTCATTGACATGTACTCGAAATCTGGGAGCTTTCCTGATGCTTGGACGGTGTTTGAGAGAGGCAGTTCCTCGGCGGTTGACTTGGTTTCCAAGAATGCAATGGTGGCGGCTTGTTGTAGAGAAGGCAAATTGGATTTGGCACAGAATCTTTTCTGGAGTAAGCACCAGATGAATGACAGTGTATCGTGGAATACGATGATTGCAGGGTTTGCCCAGAATGGGCAGGAGGAGAAGGCAATTGAAATGTTTAAATGCATGGCGGTGGAGGGATTTAGCTGGAATGAACACTCATTCGCCAGTGTTTTGAGTGCTTTTTCCAGCCTCAAGGCTTTAAAGATGGGGAAGGAAATTCACTCTTGGGTTGTAAAAAAAGGGATTGATTCGAATCCATTCATAAGTAGTGGGATTGTTGATCTTTACAGCAAGTGTGGAAATATGAACTATGCAGAATTTGTTTATTTAAAGATGAAGGTTGAGAACTCCTTCGCTGTTACATCTATGATTGTAGGATACGCAGCAGAAGGTAACATGGCAGAAGCTAGGAGGCTTTTTGATTCGTTAGCAGACAAGAATTCTGTTGTCTGGACTGCTATGATATCCGGCTATGTGAAAACCCAGCAATCAGATGATGCTTTTGAGCTTTTCAGGCAATTCATGGAAAGGGATGCAAGAGATTACGATGCTTTACTATTTATCAATCTACTTGGTGCCTGCACGACACAGGCCATTGTGGATCCTGGAAAGCAAATCCATGCGTACATAATGAAAGTTGGAATTGAAATTGATGAGAAAGTAGTCACTGCCGTGGTTGATATGTATTGTAAGTGTGGGAGCATAGGGTATGCGGAAAGAATATTTCAAAATTTGGCCTCCAGAGACCTTATCCTTCACAATGTGATGATAGCTGGATATGCTCACCACGGGTATGAATACGAAGCACTCCAGCTTTTTGAGGAGATGGTAAAGAGAGGGCTTCAACCTGATGCAGTGACTTTTGTTGCAATTCTATCTGCCTGCCGCCACAGTGGTTTAGTTGAAGTGGGTGAAAATTATTTCTCTTCCATGACTGAAGATTACTCGATACTACCAGAAAGGGACCATTATGCCTGCATGATTGACTTGTACGGAAGGGCTAATCAACTTGAAAAGGCCACAGTATTCATGGATAAAATTCCAATGGAACTAGATGCTATAATTCTGGGCACATTCATAAATGCCTGCAAAATGAATAGAAACGTGAAACTTGCGAATGATGCGGAGGAGAAGCTACTGAAAATTGAAGGAGACAATGGGGCTCGATATGTGCAATTGGCTGGTGTATATGCCTCAGAAGGAAGATGGGACGAGATGGGAAGAATAATGAAGAAGATGAGAGGGAAAGAACTCAGGAAGCATACTGGTTGCAGTTGGCTGCAAGTTGGTAATAGACGTCATACTTTTATCTCCAATGACAGGTCTCATTCGGAAACAGAGGCTGTGCATGCCATGTTAGATTGCTTGATTCAGGAACTCGTGGCCAGTATCCATGACGAGGAAGAGCTCAGCCAGTAATCTATCTGAATGCCAACGTGCTGCAACGGCCGTGTACGATCTGCCCAGATGTGAGCAGGTTATAAGTGGGTAAAGAGATTCGAAGTGCCCTTCTTCCATGGAATGTGGATCACCACTAATGCATGCGATGAATTAAACATCTATTAGCATCGCATGGGTGCCACTGGAGGAAGAAGGTTTTTGTTCTTGACCTCCGATTTTTTTTTTTTTTTAATTAATTATTAGGACAGCGCAACAGATGATAATAAACCATCATGTTGGACTCCAAACCTCGCGACATTGAATTAGCTTCGAAGCATTGAACGCTGGAGACAGATGCCGCGCGTATTCTAGACGCAGAAAAAAGCAGTTGATATGCTTGGATGAGGAAGGCTGGACTGAAGTCACCAAACACGGAAGTTTGTGTTCCAGCAGACTTTCGGCTACCCCAAAATGAGGCAGCGAGAGGCCATTTTTCTGCACCCCTCTTTTAACATGTAATTGGTCTGCTAAACCCTGTGACTTAATCAGATGGGAAATTTCTGAATAAATAACCCCAGCATTGAACATTTCAACCGAGGACCGATGAGATGCATCACATGCAATCAGAAGTTTACGGATGGGATACATCCTGTTAATCAGGAGAAATTTATGAATTTGGTAATAAATACAAACGGGATACAATTGCTCAATGAGTTTATAAATACACTGAGAACACGAGAAGAGGAAGATGTACCCATTCTTGAGTTTTACACTGTTTATAATATTGGGGTAAATAACTCACTCCCTTCTAAACTACATATCCTTCGACCCGCTTGAGCTCATATTCTGTTTAATCAGTGACAGAGAATAAATTCTGCACCTGCAGCTATTCACACCACAACTGGATTATGATGTAACTCACAACGTTGATGGGCAGAACACAGGTCTGGCACCAAAATACGCCAATCTCGCACCATCTGGAGGAAAAATGGAAATCAGAATCAAATTCATGAAGAGAGCTCTTTCCTCACCAAAAGATTCAAGGCCAAAGATTAAAATCTAACCCCCAAAAAAAAAAAAGCTACTCAAAATACTACAGACAGCAATAGATATAGGCATTCATACATGTGCAGCTGCCAGCCCAAAATCTTTTGCAAGTTTTCAACATTGATATCTTGAGGACCACAAGGAAGCAGCAACTATTAGATAGGATTTCATCAACCACCAGTGCCATTCAGATACACTATGAAAAGTTAATGTTCTGTTCAATTCTCTGCGCTATTGGTCCTAGGGAAATGAAGGCTGTTTCCGGGGACAGGTTTTTTTTTAGCGTGGCAAGATGACCAAAATAAGAGGTTAATTCATTAGTTGGTGCTTGCCATCAACCATATCAGAAGAAAACTGACTTTGGACATGACAAATATCATGAAGTGCCAGTCAGTTAATACAAATACAATCAAATACTCCATGTTCCCTCCAACCTCAAGAAAAAGCTGCTTGGGAAGAAAAACAATGAAACTGAAGAGAAAATTTAAGATATCTACCTGCAATATTGGTCAAACAATGCTTTGCAGGTACATTGCTATCTGCCTCAACAGCAGCTTTTGCAGACGCAATACCAACAGCCACACTTTGCATGACATCTAAACCAGCACATAATGACGCTATTGTTCCACCAACCAAACAGTCTCCAGCACCAGTAAGCCTCACAACAGATGCAGAAAGTGCTGGAAAATGTAAGGCATAGAAGCTTCCTTTGGACCTCGTAACATTCAGAATCCCATTGCGGTGGCAACTTGAATTTACAATTTCATACAATTGTCTGCTGAAAGAATGAGATTTTACATCCCTAAAGTTGAGACCGTCAAATTCATGCTTTTCACTAGAGCACAAGAATACCCCATCTGATCCAAGAGTTACAACTATGACTTTAATACCTTTCTCTAGCAAAACCTGAATTGCAGGCCTAAGCATTTGAAACAATGATCTCACTGAAAGCTTGATATGGATATCCTCCCTCTTGATTGGGGAAAATACATCAGCTGAAGACAGAGCATTTGCCATGGCTATTAGCTCATCTTCATTAGGTGAAGCAAAACTCACCTGTGAAATTCAAACAGATATCTCTTACTGGCATGTAACTGGTTAAAATCATACAATTGATAACATAAGCTTACTGCTTTTGTATTTTAAAATATAATTTAAGATTTCTCATACTAAAATCTTAAGTTTTATCTATCTCCAAGATCTATAGAATGAAGTTTAAAAAAATAGGAGCCAAACAAATTCTTCTTTCTAACAGAATAATCTTTTTCATGTCTCTGTTTTCCTTTAAGGATCAACAGCAACACAAACCAATCATATTGTGGTTTACCATGACAGGTGATTGTTTATTTAATCAAGTACAAACCGATTCAAACACCAGCATGAGATAAATTTTAGAAAAATTGCAGGCTTATCTCTAATTCAGTGACATAAGGCAGAGTATCTCAGAACTCACATACTTGGCAACTGAAGCAATTCGTTTGGATTTTGCAACCGATACAGGCTCAAACCACACTGGAGTTTTGGATTCTGCTGCCACTGTGGAAAAGTTATAAGAATTACTACATGAACAAGTAAAACAATGAAAATTGGGAAGAGGCAATTAGTGATTGCAAATTTTGCTTTTCATGAATTAAATACCTTTCAGGAGAAAAAGTAACAGAAACTACTAGCTTAACGAGTATGAAACTGAAAAGTGGAAAGTTGGATAGATCAGCAAGAGCTGCTTAGTTATCCACCATCCATCCATCCAATGGACTTCAAATGGACACTTGAACTCTGGACTGCACAACTTGGTGCCTACTTCTAAGCATACTTTGATAACCTGGCTTTTAGTGTAACACACGTTTTGCATTTTTGTGTGCAATCTCTCTTCTTATTTAACAGAAAATGGAAAACTTAAGCTCTTCCCTTCTCCCTACCCTTGTTGGCTTCCATTCCATGTATAACCATGTTACTCTCTTTCATTTAGTGAATGCTTATTTACAAGCAAGGAAACAAGTCATGCTACCGTATAATCACCCTAAAAAGGGCAGGTTCCTCTCTCCAACCCAAATCACCACTAGCCAAACAACCACACTAGTGCATTAAACTGCAATGATGGAAACAGAGACTTACATTGACAAGCTGCTTCCAAAGTTGGAGAACTTAAGTTTGCATCAACCATCAACACTGGAGAAGAACGTATTTTCCAACTGAACTTCCAAACCCATTCAGGAGTGAGAAATTTCTCCTGTTTTGACATATCGAACAAACTTCTAAAGAGTAGGCTTTTTTTTTCTTTGAAAGCAAGAGTCGACATTTTTTTTAACCATGAAATTTAGCTATTTTAATTTTTTACAGAACTCACAATTGCATCCACACTAGCAACAGCAGCAGCCAACTCTCCTTTACCATCAAAGATGTTGCACACAACAGCTGTCTCAATATCTTGATGCCTTTGGATGCCTAAAAATCAGTTGCGAAAGTCAGATTCACAGGACAGGACCATCTTTCTAACTATTAAGTTCTTATTAATCCACATACAAGAAAAGAATAACCACAATCACAAGTATGAAATCTACATCTGAAAGCATGGACAAAAAATAGATTATTTCTACTTGTTGCAAAGTTAAAATGCCCTCCCGTTACTATTAATAAGGGCTTCCAGCTATGGCATGACTAGTGAATGAATCACCAATACGTTCAACAAAACATAAAAGCAGTCAAAGGCAGCATCTTATATGGACACATGTAATTGATCTAAGTCGCAAGATTCACCCAATTTTCCAAACCAATCTTTCTTTCAAAAGTTTAATTAGTCCTTATAAGTAATAAACATTCCAACTTCCTATTGAAAATGGCAGGCAGATTCAGAAATATTATAGAGGCAAAGCAGCCAAACGGAACATGCTGTTGTATCCAAGACAAATAGGTCAAACTACTTCATGGTTGAAGTGCTCTCTGAGAGGCAAAAAAAAAAAAAAAACGTATAAATTCAAAGGAGCTTTCCCACACACATCATAAACGGGTTTAGCTTTGGTCGTTTCTTCGGTATCAGTGCCAAAATAGGAACAAGGAGGATGGAAATGGCACTCTTAGAAGAGTATGGAATTTTCCCTCTGGTATTTGTTGGAGAAAAAGGAGCAGATGAATGCCAATGTTCTTCAGGGTGAAATAATGGGACTAGAAGTAAAGGTTTAACTTCTCACTGGTGGTGGGATCAGTTTCTCTATCTAAATCCCTCCAGATATTGTTCTATCAGAAGCAGAGATAACCATTGCAAAAGAAATATTATAGATCAGAAGCATAAAGGACCCTACCTTCTGTGGATAATTCAGCTGATTTCCATTGTTCCAACAGCAAATTTCCTATTAACAAGAGCAAAACTTTTGTCATTTGCAACGGAAGAAGAATGAATCCCAGCTAATTGTTAACTCCATTACTCCACTATAATTAGGAAATGCATTTCCTCTCATGCATTAAAGAATGACATATTCCAGTAAATTCATAGTGCAAAAAGGCATATCTCAAGTAGACCCAGAGGTAGACACAGAGATTAGTGCCAATACCGAACAGAAGATAAAATTTGCATAGAGAAACAATTAAATCAAATGCACAACTTGATTGATGAGTTTGTCATTGTAGACATGCTCGTCATGCTGTCTCATGTTTAAGTGTCTAGACTTTAAAAATCCAGGAACTGAGCAGTACTGTAACTTTTAGTCAGAGAAGAACAACAAATTATGCACGAAACTGCATTGATGCAATTCTGACAGTGATTGACAAGAGGTGGATCACAAAGAGAGGTAATGCGAATTCCAATAAGGAATACCACCCAGGACTTATACCTGCCATGTCAAGTCCAACAGCACTTATCATATAGGGCTTTGTTCCAAGCTTGGACATGCACTCAGCAACATTCCTTGCTACACCACCTAATGCATAACGGACCTGGATGACGAATATCAGATATTGTAAAGTCGAAAATATGGGAGAATTGTCAATAACATGAGAACTCTGGTCCAACTCGGTATCATCGGGGAATATATAGGTGAATGCTGAAAAAGCGGCTATAAAAGATGAAGTGATATGACAATGACGCAAAAACATATTAGACAACATTTGATTGCGTTTCAGAAGTTGAAAACTACCCAAAAAAAAAAAAAAATTCAAAAACCTAACTTGGCTGTTGTAGAGCACCATACCACTTCAGAACTCAACAAACAGACATTCCAATAAACTTAATGTCATCTTTACAAGTATTGATATACCAGCAGTGAAGACAATAACATGCTACTCCTCCAATCAGTGAAGACAATAACATCGCCAGCAGCCTCTCAAACGGAATTTGAAGAAGAGAACTACAACCACAAAACTAAAATAAAAAAACACAGGTAAATTTGGATAGAAATAGAAAGGACATTATTCATACCTTTCCCGGGGTAGTAGTCCTGGGTTTGGCAGGTACAGAAGGGGTGGCATTTATGTCCAACACCATACCACCTATCACTACTGCCTCTCCCTCCCCATCCTTTGCAGCCAAATCCTGGAAGAATTATTACATTGTAATACGAACGCGCAAGACAAAGCCAAGACTGGCAGCAGTCGTGGTTCAAGATTTTGCTTACTTCCATCAAACAACAAAGTCATCCGATTTCATGTTCTCATGAAAAAGAGGGGAAAAAAAAGAATATCAAGAAAGCTTACCGATTTAAGAAGACCCCGCCGAGTAGGTTCTGATTGCTGATGAGAAATACGCTGAAATTTGTTACCCTCCATTTACGATTTCTCCACTACTACTGATGCAGCCTCGCGGCAATATTGACTGAAAGAGTGACTCGGCTTAGAGCCTTGGACCCATCGAGAAAACAGAAGTATACGCGGCAGCCTGGGCTTTAAACGCTGTCGGTCACGATTTCTTCATTGCTGATGCAGGCTTGCTTCATATGACTCAAAGAGTGACTCGACTTGGAGCATTAAGAAAACGAACCATCCGTGGCAGATCTATTGGGCCCAAATTACTCCAGAAGTTTATATCTGGGCTTTAAAAGCCGTCATCTGCAGCTTTCAGCACAGGAAGGTCGGGTTTTTTTCCGGGCCTCCCAAAAAAAAAAAAAAGAGGAATACTTAGAGAGAAGTACAGAGTTTTTTTTTTTGTTGGGGGGGGGGGGTGTGGGGTGCGCATTTCTCTAGGGTACTCATTATAATTATGCATTTATTTTTTTCTTTATTTTTCACCTTTTTTTTTGTGGGGTATATCATTCCCTTGTTCCATGGTAGCTGGATTTGTCTAAACTCGCGATTCTAATGTCCAAGCCCAAAGGGTTGCATAAGTGACATTTCCATAGCTCGTAATTTAATGCCAGAGCAATTTTGTTGTGGAATGACAAAATATATACATGTCTTCCAATTGTCAAAAGAAGATTTCTCTAATTCATGCCAGCAAAGGGGAAACTTATTTTTAAAAGAAACGTATAGTTGCGTACATCAAGTACTTGTGCTGAGGTCGTGGGCGTCATAATTTTTCCCCGACTCTCTAAAACAGAAGAAAAAAAAAAAACCAAATTTAGACCATAAGCATAATCATACTTTGATCTCCACCTAGTGTTACGCTCCAAGCCTGCACTTTGCCCAAAAGCGCAACAACCGTTAAATTTCAAAGAATATTAATTAACTCTCTAAAATACAAGACGTCACATCATCAATCGTTATTATATATCTTATTATTTACGGAGGCAACAAACGGTCTACTGCATAAAAGCCACTTGGGAAAAATTAAGTGTGTTCCTCGTGGATGGATGTTCCTTGTGAGTCCCATCTTAGATTGCTCGTTTGGGCCGGTGTGTTCGATGTTTCCTCTGCGTTCGTGTTAAATTAAGTGTGCGTGTGTTTCTTTTGTCTATGGAAAAATAAAAGCCACTTGGGAGACATCAAGACTATTGACCAGTGACTAACTCGGGACGTGAGCTCATGGCATGAAATAGAATTGGACTTTTTAATAACTAGGTACTCGACTATGGCAAACCATGAATGAAAACATGGATCGATTTAACAATCACGTAGTTAATAGCCTGCGGTCCCTTTTAGTATAATTAACATCTAGCAAGTTGTGTTTAAAAAAATTCATGCTCTACTTTAGGGTCATTGTCAATCTTCATATAAAATCATGAGAGACATTGAAATAATGAAAGAGGGCTTATTTACGTTGTAATCGCGGATTATTATTTGATTTCAAAGATCCTTCTCGTCCCTCTGTCTCTCTTCCGAAAGTTTGCTCACTCTCCTCCTCAAACTTACCTGTGCGCGTGTTGTCGATTCGCCCCGCAAAGAATTGGGATTTAGTTTCATATTTAGGATATGTAAATCTCATACTTAACTTTAGTAGCGTTGTTCTGGAGAAAACAAGGTTGAATTGGGAATGTAATATCCTATTTGGTAGTTGGTAATATGTCATGGAAACAAGTTTGATTGATATTTGATTGGAAATAAAATATTCATGAAACTAAATATATTTAGAATCTTACCATGAGAATTAACAAAAATGGAATGACCACATTCATTCATTCATTCAATGTTATGGCTAGTGTTTAGTAGTAAGGCTAGGTTCATTTGCTTGCCTGACCAATATGGCTAGACAATATTAGACCTACGGTGCTCCAGTCCACTGGGACAAGTTCCAAAATTGTTAAGCTGGCGACTGAATGGAGAAGAATTAGGAAAAGCCGTATGGTCCTCTGTCCCACTCCTAAGGTGGTCTAGTCTACGCCCAAAGTAGTTGCCACTTGGCACTATTGAGGAGTCGTCTTTGACTCCCAGGGTGCCCTAATTCTACTTCGGATGCATCCAGGCTTTTACCCAGAAAAAGAAAAAGAACAAATGCATTTTGAGACAGACATTTTGTTAGAAAATAACTAAACCAAGCATTACTATTTATTAGTTAGTCCAGATGCCATTATGTGATGGTTAATTTTATTGTACAGTGAATTGTGATCACGAGTTTCATCCCCAATTACTAGTCTTACTAATCAATCGGTAGCGTTTCGGATCGTCGAGAATCTGGTCGAGACAGATTAAAAACGGCCGAATCGTATCGAATCATTGCGAGTCAAGTTGAATTTTTATTATTTTTGCTTATCATTTTTTTAATGATTTTTAAAATATTAAATGTTTTAAAAATTTGCGTCTCGTCGAGATCGTGACCAATATGTTGAAACCGATGTGAAATAGTCCGAGCGACCTTCGCGGCCACGATTGCGACTTTGAACCATGTTTGTAAATCAGATCAAGTAGCAATTAAGTTATGAGACGGTAGTGATCGGAAAATTGTTCAAGAATACAAGAGACGTTGAAGTCCGGTCAGCAAGGATGCAAAGTCTAACTTGACGGAGACCTGACGCGGCCATCCTATTAACAAGAGAATAGGTGCATTATTGTGGCTAACGTACGAGTGGGCAAATGAAGGGCATCTTGTGACCCTGTCGTCAACCATCAAATCCCCGAAAATTGAGGCCCATATATCATACATGTTATGTTCTTCTTCAATGATCGACTGGCATTCAACAAACAATAATTAAAAGTTGCCTGCCAAAATGCCAGCGGTCATTGTTGAAGGAGACCCGTGCAATTGGGTCAAACTCGATCGATGGATGAATTCAGTCCGAATTCAGATTTTGATGGCACGTGAAATGGACTATTTTGCAACTTTTTTTTTTTCTAACATTTTCTTATGGAAAACTCAAGAATTCGACAAGATAAGCTTAGGTCCCGAGCAACCTTTTTAGGTCTTGAGCAACCTTTAAAAGTCGGCAACTTTTGAAAGCGTCCAGGAAACTTATCTACCCATTCCCAACCCCCCCTCCCAGTACCGATGTGGGAAAGAACCCTCCACATGGACAAATGCCCTGCTACTAAAAGTTAACTAACCCCCACTAACCCCGGAAAGCACCCCTAGCAGAATTGTTTTTTCTAAATTTACCTCCTGGAACCCACAGCAGAAACTAGATATGGACGTTTTCTTTTAAATACCATGGTATGAAAGCTACAATGATTAGTACTTCATCTTTTTCTTTTTTCTTTTTCCACATGAAACAACCAATAAATTAACATTAACATATGTACGTCACACTCTACTGTGGAGTCGGCACTTGCAGAGACTACGGGGCAATTAAATTAGATATATAATGAAGACATTTTGAGTCCATGACCCCACGAATTACATTTTTGTGTAAGAAGCCAGAGAATGATATGGGCGATGCAAGTCTAATCCTTTTACGACTTGGGACTTAGAATCATGTTATTATTGCCAAAAGAAAAACTATTATTATTATTTGCTTGGTTATGGGCTACAGATCATGCAAGACCTGCAGCAAGGCTGCTGCTAAAATTCATCGTTGCCCAATATTATATTATAGGCAACGTGCATATCTATATGGTGTGAGGTAGGGCAACCTTGTGACTATTTGTCCTAATCACTGTATCAATTTCTGTCCCATTTTTTTTTATATTGTTATTTTTCCTTCATAAATATCATATTTTATTTTTTTGATTTCTTTAAGATCCAATAACTATTAATTGAGTAATATACATAAAATTTAACGAATTGAAAAAATCAAAATGCATAAAAAAATGAGTTTTTTAATGAATTTTATTAATTTTCTATAATATATTACTTTTTTGAGACTGTTGTATGAATTTTTTATTTAATTAATGGTTATTGAATTTTAAGGAAACAAAAAAGAACTAAAATATGATATTTATGAAAGAGAAATAGTAATGTAATAAAAAATGGGACAGAGAGTGAGATAGAAAATTCGTTGCGAACTAAAAGATACGTCAAACTTGATTCTCGTAATTAGCACTCGTTCATAATTTAGAAGCTGGGCTTGAAATTTAAACCTGGTATCCCTGGATTATTCTTCATTGATCATTGACGTTCTAATAGTCACCAAATTGAGCTACGTTTTGTCTTCTACCTGACTACATTATCCCTACATAATACCAAACGTACAGGGTGTAAATAATATTATTATATGCCCACAAACATGCAGTGAAGTGCTCAGGATCAAGCAGGCCTTCCAATCATTAACTCGGGCAAATTTCCCACGTACGTCCTCAGAACTAATCATCAAAATGGTACTGCATACTTGTTAATGCAGAATGGATATATAGTTCATAATTGTCCTTGCAGAACGTCCCTCCCTATAATCTGTACGGGGATTGGCCATTTCCTTTTTCTTCTCCCCCCCTCTTTAGCAGTGTTTTGAAAACCGAACCAGATCGGCCGGTTCGACCGGTTGAACCGCGAATCGGCCATGGCTCCGGTCCGATTCAATGCCAGGTTTGACTTTGTCAAGAAACCGGTCAGACCGTGAAACCGCTGAACCGGATTTGAACCGGTTATTTCCGGTTTTTGAGTTTTCCTTTTTTTTTTTTTTTGCAAAATGTAGTTACCAAGATTCGAACTCAAGACCTTTGTAATAGAAGATCAATGTAGTAACCGTTGCACTATCACATCTTATTAGTTTTTTTTGATAACTTATTTATATAAAACAAACACTCATATTTCTTTTGTTCCATTTTTTTTACAAAATATCATCATTTCATGACTCTTTCTTTTTAATCTTCAACACATACACACACACACACACACACACTCTCTCTCTCTCTCTATCATCTTTTCTTTTGCCACTCATTTTTTAATCAAACCTCTTTATTTTTAATTTATTGATGTTTTCTTCCATATTTTAATTTTGTTTTTGTCCATTAAATTTTAAAAAGTTAAAAAAGAATTATTTTTCTTTAACCCAATTTATTTAATACCACAATCACTCACTTTTATCTCATTTTTTGTTTCTTATCAAATTTGCATTTCTATTTTCAATTCTCTTGATTTTCTTCGAACTCCAAACTTCCTTTTTTAA